CCCCTTGAAGGCCTTTCTTCTTTAGGAATATTCTTCTTCAATAGCTTAAAACAGTATCTGTACCATAGGTGTGGAATATCTTCTACTCGTCTTATAATAATAATAATAATGATAAAGTTGGAAGGGACCTTGGAGGTCATCTAGTCCAACCCCCTGCTCAGGCAGGAAACCCTATACCATTTCGGACAACTGGCTGTCCAGTTTCTTCTTAAAAACTTCCAGTGTTGGCGCATTCACCGCTTCTGGAGGCAGGTTGTTCCACTGGCTAATTGCTCTAACTGTCAGGAAGTTTCTCCTTAGTTCTCTCTTTGGCTAGTTTCCACCCGTTGCTTCTTGTCCTGCCTTCAGGTGCTTTGGAAAATAGCTTGACTCCCTCTTCTTTGTGGCAGCCCCTGAGATATTGGAACACTGCTATCATGTCCCCCCTCATCCTTCTCTTCGTTAAACTAGACATACCCAATTCCAGCAACCGTTCCTTATACGTTTTAGCCTCCAGTCCCCTAATCAACTTTGTTGCTGTTGTTGTTTGTCTTGTTCCTGGTCATCTCCCTCATCCGGTGGAAATGCTGCACTGTTCGTCTGTCTCATGTAGTGATTCTTGTCATCTCTTGTGGAACAATTCCTTTATTTAATCAGATACATCCTTATATTTATTCATTAGGTAAAGCATGTCAATTCATTGTGCCTGTCTTGTCATTATATTTCCTGCAAATATAAACTAGGTTTTTTTTCTAGGAGGAATACAGATAAGCATTATAAATCACGATTGCTGTGGAATCTGTCCATTCATACAATACCATCAGTTGTAAAGCTTTTATTGTTCTCTTCTGAACCTTACAAAATACACATTGCTAACGGGAAACTGTCAGTGATTCTATTTTAAGCTCTCCCATCAAAATCTTCCTGAAATTTGGTTGCATTCTATTCCTCCTATAGTCTCTGCTTACTCAGCGTGAAGCAGTCACTCAATCACCCAAAACTGGTAATTGACCTCTCTATTGGGAGTCATCCCTTTCTATCAACGGCTTTTCAGGAGATGAACTTTTCACCTCTTTCCGTTCAATATGTCAGAACCTGTTTCTTCTGGTCATTCTATTTTCTCCTTTGTCTCTTCTCCTTTAAATATTTGTTTATATACTCTTTTTTCTTTTTCCTCTGCAAATTCAAGACCACAGTACAAGGGTTTCCTCTAATTTTATCCCAGTAACAAAAAGCTTGTAAGATTATTTGGGCTCAGAGAAAGTATGACCCAAAGTCACCCACTACGTTTAATGGGAAGGAACTATGCTAAGCCTAAGTCAAATACATTGTTCCAAATACATTCTAACCCCAAGATTTTCCCTAGTGTGTACCCCTAACATGCCCATGGAACGGATCTTTTGGGCTCTCTCATCATAGCAATTGTGAAAGTGAGTGTTAAAGAAGTATTTACAGTACAGATAAAACTCTTCAAGGCTCCTCATGGAGAGAGAAAATCCTTTTACAGTACCAAGCAACTAACATACTATATGTTCTTTAGGATAACTGTACGTATAGTAGTGTTTCTTCTTTACTAGTACCAGGGGTAGGCAACCTTGGCTCTTTTATGACTCGTGGACTTCAACTCCCAGAATTCCTGAGCCAGCTTGGCTGGCTCAGGAATTCTGGGAGTTGAAGTCCACGAGTCATAAAAGAGCCAAGGTTGCCTACCCCTGCACTAGGCTGAACAAAATGTTTTGACAAACTCCATCTATTTTACTTAACAGGTTATTTTTTTTTCTTCATAAAACCAATGAGCCAGTCCTAAATGTGGTATCACACAGTTTATTAAATCAGGTCATAAGTCCCATTGGCAAAAAAATGTCTTTCCAATTTCAGATGACATACTTGCTGAAATATTTAAGTAAGGAAAAGATACTTTAGGAAAGCGAAGAGTTCTGAAAGCGATGTGTTTAATGTTTAAAGAAAGCAAGGAAAGAAAGCAAAAAGAGACAGAATGCTCTAAATACAATGATGGGCTTTGAATACAATGGAAAACATTAAATATTAATCAGAACATTGATTCATCTTTTTTCAACTCGACCCAAGCAAGTCACATGGAACAATTTGCTATCTTTATGAAAGTCTTTTAAAGTGTACTGTTCGCACTGGGCAAATACTCAAAAAGAAAAGGCATATTGACATAAGCAAAAACAGCCATATTCCCCCAGAAGGCTCAGCATGGCTCCTTTGAAGGCTTTCTCCAGCTGTCTGCACATATTTGCATGAACGCCCATCTGCTTTAGTGATAGTCCTAGCAGAAATGCTGTCTGGGCATTCACACACATGCACAGGGGAAGCTTTCAAATCAATTGCACAAAGCTTTCCAGTGGATGTGGCTGCTTTAGCAATTTGAGAAATGGGACTTCACACATGCCAAGTGCTTTCTAATGTTTTTTTGCAAAGCCCTAATTGTTTCCAATAATATTGTAGTAGTGTGAGGAACCAAAATAACCTTGTGAGTCAACAGAAGAACAAAAATAATGTTTTCCAGTTATTTTTGCTATATAATTGAAAAAATATAGAAGAGAAACAGTTTGATCTAGTCCCACTTGAAACATGAATGCCAGCTGGGTGACTTCGCACCAGACATTCTATCTCAGCCCATAGTTTCAGGCTAAGGCAACAAGCTGGTCAGTCAATTCCTACTGCAACCAATCGATCAACTCTTGATTGATCCAAAAACAATGGACCTTGCACTGGTGAAAAAATGCTATGAAGAAAAAAAAGAAAACCGTAAACCAGACACTATATAAAAGCTTTGAAAATCTGGGTTCCCATATGAGTTATATTTTCTGCTAGGTTACTTATTGATGCTTGGTGTGTAATATTTTAAAATGTTACTTAAATGATTTTTTAAAAAGTTAACCTAACTATTTGTATGTCATGGCAATGTTTCTTCTTGATTTAGGCCATACTTTATACCTAAGTCAAATTAATGAAATCCCCTATATATTTGGATTGTTTCAATCTGCTACACCAGTATCATTTTATTGATTGCACTGAAGAAAATTAATCTTGAATGCCTCCCCAGGGGTTATGTTGTGCTGCTAAAAGTATTTAAACACCAAGAAAATACACATGAATCTGCAAAATCCATTGCTGTTATGTTGTTTTTTTAAGCAGCTGGGAACTTTCATTATCTGAGTGTGTTAAACTATAACCCTTAAGGCAGAGTTGAGCAAACTCCTGCCACCTTATCTTGGAGCAAAATATCCTTAGTACTAAGGATCTAAAAAGTTGCAGCTGAGATCTTATTTGCACAAACTGTATAGTAAGAATTCTACTTAAGTATTGCTTACAGTGCATTCAGATTCAGACCCCTTTAACTTTTGCCAATTTTGTTATACTGCAGCCTGATTCTACAGTTTTCTTTTTTTTTCTCATTAATCTACACTCAGTAGCCCATAATGGCAAAATAAAAACAAAATTTTAGAAATGTCTATAAATTAATTAAAAAGAAAAAAAATTAAAATATCACATTGGCATAAATATTTAGACCCTTTGCAACAACATGTGTAATTTAGCTCTGGTGCCTCCAATTTTTATCGATAGTTGCTGACATGTTTCTACCTTGATTGGAGTGACCTTGATTGGAGTCCACTTGTGGTAAATTCAATTGATTGGACATGATTTGGAAAGGCACACACCTCTCTATAGAAAGCCTCACAGAAGAGCAAAAGCCATGAGGTCAAAGGAACTGCTTACAGAGCTCAGAGACAGGATTATTGTAAGGCACAGATCTGGGGAAGGCTAGAATAAAATTTATGTTGAACTGAAGGTTCCTAAGAGCACACTGGCTTCCATAATTCTCAAATGGAAGATGTTTGGCACAACCAGCACTCTTCCAAGAGCTGGTCACCCAGTCAAACTGAGCAATTGGGACAGAAGGGCCTTAGTAAGAGAGATGGCCAAGAACCCAATGGTCACTCTGACTGAGTTCCAGAGATGCGGTGTGGAGATGGGACAAAGTTCCAGAAGGACAACCATCACTGCAGCTCTCTAAGCTTTATGGCAGAGTGGCTAGAGGGAAGCCTCTTCTCAGTGCAAAACACATGAAAGCCACTTGGAGTTTGCAAAAAAGAACCTGAAGGACTCTCAGACTGTGAGGAACAAGAACCTCTATTCTGATGAAACCAAGATTGAACTGTTTGGCCTCAATTCTAAATGTTATGTCTGGAGGCTGCCCAATATCATCCCAACAGTGAAGCATGGTGGTGGCAGCATCATGCTGTGGGGGTGTTTTTGAGCAACAGGGACTGGCTTGAGGGAAAGCTGAGTGGAGTAAAGTACAGGGATATCCTCAATGAAAACCTGTTCCACATCATTTAGGACCTCAGATTGGGATAAAGGTTTACTTTCCAACATGACAGCGATCCTAAGCGATCCTAAGCACACAGACAAGCACACAGACAAGACAACACAGGAGTGGCTTAGGGACAACTCTGTGATTGTCTTAGAATGGCCCAGCCAGAGCCCTGACTGGAACCCTATGGAACATCTCTGGAGGGACCTGAAAATGGCCATCCACCGACAGTCGCCATCCAATCTGACTGAACTTGAGAGGATTTACAAGGAAGAATGTCAGAAAATCCCCCAATCCAAGTGTGCAAGGTTTGTCATGTCATACCCAAAAAGACTCGAGGCTGTAATTACTGCCAAAGGTGCTTCCACAAAGTACTGAGTGCGGGGTCTGAATACTTATGCCAATGTGATATTTCAGTTCTTTCTTTTTAATACATTTACAGACATTTCTACAATTCTGTTTTCACTTTGTCATTAGGGGATACTGAGTATAGATTAATGAGAAAAAATGTATTTCAGCAACTGTAGAATCAGGTTGCAGCATAACAAAATTGACAAAAGTGAAGGGGATCTGAATACTTTCTGAATGCACTGTAAGTGCTTCCCATATATGTACCATCACCATGATTCTGCCTTGCTCTAAAGCCATGCTCTTTTTATTAATTTTTAATTTATTTTTAATTATGGAACACTTCACAAATTTGCGTGTCATCCTTGCACAGGAGACAAGCTAGTCTTCTCTGCATCATTTCAATTTTAATAAATTTGTTGCCTAAGAGAGCACTCCAAAATCATGTTAAGGGAGGGTTTTGCCTGCAATGTCATATTACTGGTTTCACATTCTGATTTCTGCACACTTTGTAGTCTGAATGGGACACACATATTAGAACAGATATAGGTTCCCAGTGGGACTTTGGGCTGAAAACAGAAAGAAAAGGAGTTGGAGATGACAGGGACTGATGTTAAAGGAAGGTGAATAAAGCTCAGTGAATTTCCAGTTCACTATCTGGCCAATTTGCTTCTACTTAATCATTTTCCTGGCTATATGACAATATTCTATTTAATCCATGGAACAATCCTGTGGATATGAATGGTCCTTAAGTCAAAATCCTGTCAATTTCAGTGTTTCTACTCTAGCTGAAACCAAATCTGGATCCCAATTAATTAGACAAATCACTGCCGGCATCTTCAGGGATCTATGTAGGTCAATGGGAGCGCGCTTTTTATGATCAAGCCACCTTTGCACCCGGCCCATGGATGCTACCATGGAGCTCCATTAGCCAATCGCCATTCCAACCCCGTTTTCGTTCTATTTAATTGATTCACCTGCGCTATTCCTATCCTTGCACAACTTGCACCACCATTCCGCTGTCTCTTGTAGCTCATTCTCTTCCCCTGTCTCTTGTAGCTAACAAAGTGAGAAAGAGCCTGTGGCATAAGGGACTAATGCTTCTGCTTAACATGCAGACAGCCCAGGTTCCAATCTCCGAAGGGTATGTCTGACTGATGAAAACCAAATAAGGTTAGAAATAGCTATCTCAGTACTCCCTTAATTCTTTGTTAGCATTCCAAATTTTGAAAAACATATATATATATATATATATATATATATATATATATATATATATATATATATATATATATATATATTCAATATATGTGTGTGTGTGTGTGTGTGTGTGTGTGTAATAGTTGTTTGTTCCTTGCCCAACATTTTTCAACCATACCTGGCAAAATTAAACCATTTCATAATACATTTCAAGTTGAAAAATAGCCAGAAGGAAAAGAAGTTGGAAAGAGAAAAAAAAACTGATTTGCACCAGCACATTAAACTTGAACTAGAGCAGGGGTGTCAAACTGCCAGCCTGTGGGCCAGATGCGTCACGACAAAACTGCACCCACCCCATTGCCGGCAATGGGCAAAAAATTCCAATACATTGTGTGATGTCACATGACGTCGCAAGTTTGACATGTCTGAACTAGAGCAACAAGACCATGCTTTATCAGAATCTTTGAAGTCCATGATCTTCTCACTGTGTAGGTATACATTGAAATGTCCTGTTAATCTCTTTTCAACTGTTAAACATACCTGGCAAAAACGGGCAAACATTTCTCTCTCTGATGACTTCAGTTTCTCCAAAATCGATATTGGGATAATAATATGAGATAATAATCATTGTGAACATCTTATTTTTTTGAAGATAAGATTGGGTTAAATGTAGTTAATTAATAAACAGAAGAATCTTAAGTGGTTGTCATTTGACTATCTTGCAGATTCCTTATGTTGCCTGTTAATTAATTTTATCTCTGATTCCTCAATGACAGTAAGGAAACTTAGCAGATGGTCTGAATATATATTAACAACATTCCCATTGTTTATATAGCCCTCTTTTTTATTTTATAATTAAAAACCAAACACAGGCAGCTAATAAGAGCTTTAAATTTATTCATGCTAAATTCCACGTTTGGGGCTGAGTGTATAAACAACTGAGATCACAAATAAAGAAGAAAAATCACTCTCTCATTTTTACACCAATATAAATTATACTTAAGTATCAAACTTCAGCCTGGACTTTGATAGAATGGTCTTGAAAATGACATTTTAGTAATAAAAGGAGTTTACAAAAGGATAAATTTGTTGTATACATCCTGGCAATGTAAATAATTTCTTTTATTGTGTGGCTTATCTATAGCATGATAAACAACATAAATTGCAATAATTAAACTTGGAATATGCTACATAAATGTTATTACTATTAAATAATTATGAATATATTTCAAGTTTTCTTTTTATGAAAAGCAGTTCATATTTTCTATTACTTCTCTTCCCCAGTTTTGTCTTTTGGGAAGATTTTGGAAGAAAACACTTTATTAAAATTCTTCACATTTCAATAGGGTCATCCCTGAAGATTTTAGGAATAAAACAACTTTGCAGGGAACAAATACGTGAACGGTATAACGCTACAGAATGCAGAATCTGTTATTTTTCAATTTCATATCTAATATATTTAGGTTTCTTCTAAACTATTAAAAAAAAAGAGGAAAGGTTTTTTTGTATAAATTAAAAATGCAGGCTTTTTTGCTATTCTTGTGGCATAATAAATATTTGAGGGCAGTCCTGCCATTTGAACTTTATATAAAAATTGGATGGAAATATGAGGATTTTTCTGAGTCTGAATATTAAGCATTGTCATGCAGTTGACTGGATTTCTCATGGGAGAGAATCTGTTATTTATTATTAATAAACTGTCACACTTATATACTGGCTTATTGTAAAAGCTTAATTCGGTGTGCATGATGTCTCCTGTGATTTTATCCACATAACAACAACCCTGTGAGGTAGACTGGCCTGACAGAATGTGACTAGACCCAAGTTTCCCAGAGTATCACAGACTTCTTCATAGCTCTTCATAAAAATGTGTGTGTGTGTTTAGAGACTTTTGTTACCCCCACTCCATACATACCAAGATTTATTTATTATGCAAGAGAATCATATAGATAGAATAAATCTCAATATTATTTATAATACTCAGTTACAGGTGCTGAAGGAAGCTTGGAGGATGAGAAAAAAAATGTGTAATAACTAAACTAATACAAATTACATCTGTCAGAGCATAAATTGGGAAATGTTTTGTATGCATAATAAAGCAAAGTAATAAAGCCCGAAAGTTATTTAGAGAGATAGTAAGAAATTAATCTTAGTTTCCAACTTTGTTCACAAAAGGTACAATCCACACTGAGGCCCTTTATTCCCCAAATGATATTATCCACAGATCACAAAACCACTTTCAAGAAGTACTGAAAGTACTTGTCTTTATTTGCTCATTTTGATAAAGGGGGTTGATAACCATTTCCTTCCTCTGATTTTCACTGATAGAAGTGTCACATAATCATATATATAATAGCAATAGCACATAGCACTTAGACTTATATACCATTTCATAATGCTTTACAGCTCTCTCTAAGTGATTTACAGAGTCAGCATATTGCCCCCCAACAATCTGGGTCCTCATTTTACTGACCCTGAAAGATAGAAGGCTGAGTCAACCTTGAGCCAGTCAGGATTGAACTCCTGGCAGTGAGCAGAGTCAGACTGCAATACTAATTCTAACCACTGCACCATAACGGCTCCTAATGTAATTCTAGGTCTCCCAATGTGGTTCCTGGGGCCCCACTATGTCACAGACTACTTCCTTGGTGCCCACTTGGTCCCTGGAAATTACATGATTTTCTAATCTTCTTTTTAAAAAATAAATAAAGGGGAAACTTGCTGATGTGAACAAAGAAATGTAGGAAGTCTCCTACAGAACAGTGGCCTAGAGAAGATGGTACATAACATTCTAATAAATTGAGGGTTTTGTAGCTATGTTCCTCATAGCAATCATTTTGTGAACAGATAAGTAATACCATTAATCATTTCATGGGATTTGTTTTTACAGCCCATCCAAATAGTCAATGGGCTCCCAAAAAACTAGGTTCAGCCTGCTGTGTCTTAACTCCCTTTATTCTTCAAGGTTGAGAGCTTCATGTATGATATGAATTCTCCACCACAAAGCTTTTCTCTGGATTCCATTCCACCAAGATCATAATTAATTCCCCCTCCTTCCATTTTTTAAAAAGGATCCTAAAAACAATAAATGTATATTTCACTGTAACATCACTGGTTATGTTTCTTGCTTATTGTTTCTCAGTGAGAACACCACTTTTGACCAGAGAAGCAGGCAACATACACATCAAAGACTAAGGAATTCTCATAGGAAGTCAAAGAAAACACTGAAAAAGTTATCTTTACAAGTTGCTTATGTGAATATTCTCTAATGTTAACAGTGAGGACAAGTTTTGGATGCAAAGATGAACAGTAGTTATATTGATCTTTCCCAACTTCTGCTCCCATTTCATGCTTTAGTTTTGGCCGAAAGGGCAAATTTGGTCATTTTGCTACTCAGATTTAGGGAGATTATCCCAAGATACTAAGGAACTAAAAGTGGGCTCCATATTGTCTATCAAACAATGACTGCATCAGCAAGGAACATACAGCTTTCCAGATCTTGTTGGGCAGCAATAGTATGTAGGTGGGGATTCCTGGGAAATGGAAGTTTGGAATCATATGAAGGTTCCAATTTCCTTACCTCTGACAAATATTACTTCATTATTTTCATGCATGCACACTCTATTATATAGTATCTGTGCAAATGTAATAAATAGTATCACATTTGTAGATATCTCACAATTTGTTTAAGTCAACATATTTGGTTGCTTAGTAAATAGCTATAGTTTTTCAGTAGGTGCCTTGGCCTTCCTTCCTTCCTTCCTTCCTTCCTTCCTTCCTTCCTTCCTTCCTTCCTTCCTTCCTTCCTTCCTTCCTTCCTTCCTTCTTTCCTTCCTTCCTTCCTTCCTTCCCTCCTTCCTTCCTTCCTTCCTTCCTTCCTTCATTTCATTTCATTTCATTTCATTTACATTGTCACAGCCACATTTAAATACAGTTCTGCTCCCACTGCAAGATCTGCATTCATGGATGGTACACTGCTTTATTTTCTCAAACAGGTCTAAGCAGGAAGCTGTTTTGGTTCCTGCCACCATTTATTAACATTGATTGCTCCATGCAATTAAAGCTGAGGTATATTTGGAGGCAATAACCACTTAAGTGCTTAATCTTCACTAGTGGCATCTAACTAGCATATCCAGCTCTCTCCAAAGCATAAGGTGGTTAGTAATTAGTATTAGGAAGCAACTTTGAAAACAAAGCAAAAAAAAAGTGTTTTCTTCAGGTGACAGGTAGGCTAT